TTTCACCGCATTTAGTCACCCGCATTTCATTCGCGCTGTCGCTTATATAGCGTCGTCGAGATGAGGCCGTGGCCATCGTCATGATTAAATATGCGCGGAAATGGTTCTCGCTATTTCATTAAGTATACAATTGTGGCAGATGTTCAAACCGATTATCGCTTTAAGATAATAAGAAATGTTAAATGCACGCATATCGAAATTATATTTAATCAAAAATGTTCATAAAAATATTTTGAATTTACAAAAACGTCGCCCGTAAAACGTACTTTTTAAAAATCGTTTTGTAATCATATAAAACTGTGAAATATCTACGAGGCAAAAATTCCGGATTGGCGATTGTATGAATAATTCTGCGGACAAGTAGGAAATATTTGTATCTACTTTTAAATATAGATTTATATTTCTAAAAAAATTAATAGTAAATTAGCATATAAAGCTGTTTATAAGGGAATGTTCCGTATCACGAAAGAACGATCAGTCGCGGCTTAAGATGAATTTAAATAAGCACGGTATTGAGCTACCGCACTTTAGCCGGTGTGATTTCATTCGAGACTCTCCTTTCCTTCTGTTCGTATTACTCCATCGCCGCCGTCCATCCGTAGCGACGTCTCTTGAATGAGTTTGCCATCCGGCGTGTTTCCAGCCGGGGCATCGGCCGGATTTGAATAATCCGTTTCTCCGGGCTTTAAGTGTTTTTCAAGATTAGGCAGGCACCGCTTTGTAGGCAGCTCCAAGAGTCAAGAAGTAATTTATCTTCGTTTGAACGCCTCGCGTGCTCGTGACTAAAGGGGAACAATGAGTGTCTACAAGTTGTACAATGAGAATATATCACTTCACAGATTGTTCGAGACGCCGTGTTGTTCCGCAAAATCGACACATTTATATCTTCCAAACAGCAAATCTATAAAATTTTTAGAATCCCTTTCTTCAAATCACATCACATAGATTTGATTTTCCTTCCATTTCTGCACACATCCACATTTTATTTTCTAGCCACACGTCAATTTTTCCAATATTCGTGACATATATATTACTTTAAATATCTGAGTTTGTTCTTTTTTTAGACATTTCGCTTTGTTTTCCACAATCCAGTTTAGTTTAAAGGACACTTAGCCGTAAGTGCAGAGCATAAAAGACAAAGATCTCGGTGGGATTTCGCTCTGAGCAGAAGGCTTTACTTTCCCATCAAGTCTGATGGCAGCCTCAACACAATGTTCACATTTTCTGCAATTTTTCTTTCGCTCCCCACTGTGTTATTTATCAGCGGGATAGAGTCGTCCATTTCCTCATTGGTAGATGTTCGATATCGATACTTCGTAAACGGTCCAGCTTCGGCTAGTTTGTCTTCGTAAATCAACTATATCTCTCTTGACTCGGTTAGGATAACATACAACTTTCATGACAAATATCTATTGCGTGAAAACAAATTAATGCGTATTAGAGATCACTTTTTGATCAGTTTCCTATTTAAGTTGTTAATTCATCTCTCTTTCGCATCCGAAGTTGCTGGAACATAGATACGGATAACAGGAAGGAAATCTCGTTTGATTTATAGGAAAGGGGGTGCCTTTATTTTGCTATGGTAGAGCACTTATTCTTTCATGTTTTGACATTTTTCGATCAAAAATTGACAGGGGATATGGGACGGCGCGGCGCCCAAAGAATTTGACGGGTTATAATTCAATCGAGACGTCGGGAATGCGGGAATTACATCGAGAAATGAAGTCGATAGAAACAGTTACGGAGTCAAACTCGATCTTATTTCCTTCTGGATTGACCCTTAAGCACTAGCACCATGTACTATACGATGAAACCGCGATTGTCTGCCCGCACCAAATGGCCACGGTCGCCATTTCTGGTGTGCCACATTCTCGGCAATTTATAGCCTCTTGTGGGACCACCGAAAGACTGTAACTTCTTGAACAAGAATTCTAAAAAATGTTTGAAGTAAAAACGCTTATGAATTAAAACAGTGGAAATAATCTTATCCCATAAATTTTCACGTTACATGAACGATTATTCTATAAAGCAGTAACTAAATTAACAGTGTAACAATTTTTTCACTTTTACATCACAGAAAAAAATGAATTCCTGATTCACGTATATTTTTATTCTTGTATGCTATTTACTTTCATTTAAGTATAAAATGTTCTCTTCAATTATAAATGTTCACTGGCGTCAATAATAAATAGATTTGTGGAAAATATATTTTATTCTTAAAATTGTGTTCTTGTTTCTAAAATAATTACATAGTTCTAACAAACTCTCAATCGCATTATTTAGAAACTATTTATTCTTGGATTTAGAATTACAAATTTGAAAATTCGCCGACAGGCGGCAACAGTATGTATAAGGGCCCCTTAGTAATATCAAGATGTCGGAAGTGCATGGGTGTAGTGAATGACGTTTGACGATGGTTTTGTGAGTGAATTGTTGCATTTGTAGAACATATCTCTAAATGTGGTTCAATCTTTAAGGATGGATGAAATATTCAGCTCGTCCTAATGTTTCTGTCAGTTATATTGCAAATG